AGACTTTGAAATTTTAAGATTACGTAATTGACAAATAATATCATCCATACTACTTTCAGAAAACTTAAAATTTATATTAGAGTAATAGTTAGAGTGGTAATTTTCATCATCTGAAAAGTTCGTACATGGAGAATCGTTCTCAATTTCATTAGCCAAATTTACCCCGATGTTAACAAAGAAGTCATTAAACGCCTCAGCTTTCAAAGTATTATCTGAAATCACAACATCATCACATTTAAGTTGAGAGATATTATTTGATTTTTTGTTTTTACTTAAGAGAATATTAATTAACTTCCAACTATGTTTCATATCTTTCGATTGTGCGCAGTTCTCAAATTTGTTACAGAAAAATGCTGTTTTAGCTTTAGTTAGTTCTGAATTGACTTTGTTACGTATTTCTTTGAATTTCTCCCAGTGAATCTGGGAATTATTTTTAACAGCCATTTTCTTGTAAGAGTCCCTAACCCTCATCAGATTTTTGATATCAGGGGAAATCCAAGGAATAGAATTTCCTCTAAGTCTCATCAGTCTTAGGGGCGCATGCCAATCAAGGACGTGTAGGAAAAGGGATCTCCATATCCGCCAACAAACATATGGGCTATCATAAAGCGCCACATTTTCCCAGGGCATCTGGGAAAGATCATTAAGAAAGTTATTGGCATTGGATCTTTTGAAATTGCGAACATATCTTGTCTTTTGCCGAGATTTAGTGACACAATATTTTCTAACGGCAAAAACCAAACTATGATCAGATATTCCAAGATGAATAACACCAGATTTCGAAATATTTTCCTCTTTGTTTGTCAATATCAAGTCTATTAAGGTTGCTGATGTTCTTGTTACCCTTGTAGGTTCATTAATATGTTGTCTATACTGGTAAAGTGAGGATAGAAATTGTAGTCTGCGTGTGTGAGCTTCGGGAGGACATTTTATGGTATCACAATTCAGATCCCCCATTATTATTACTTCAATATTTTCCAAGTCGCATTTTCTAAGAAAAGTCTCGTATTCATTAAAGAGACTAAGCTCAGAATTTGGCGGTCTATACCATGTAACTATTAGAAATGACTTATTGTGTGGTTTCGTAATTTCAATGCATAGCATTTCTAACGAATCAGATATTAATAAGTAATTTCGTTCAGAAAATGGTAAAGATTCTCGCACATATAATAACACTCCCCCACTATACCTATTTCTATCTTTACGGATATGATAATATCCAGGTATGCTAAATTCATCATCAGACACTGAATGGTCAATTTTTGTTTCATTAATCGCCAGAATGTCAATAGAGCTATTTTGCATAATGATACGGAGCTGGTCGATACTTTTTAAAAGACTATTAATATTTAAATTTGCCATTTTTAGGCCTTTAGAACAATCTAAATCAGAAAATATATTATTAGATTCATCTATTTTACCTGTCGGAGGGTCACACCGATTATGATTATTACTTAATACTCGGTCCTCTGAGCGAGTAATAGGAGTCTCAGTAGGTCCTCTAGTGAATGATTCTGATATGTCCGGCGACCTTGAAAATCCTCCCCTCTCTTCCTTTGGCGATACTCTGATGCAGCTGGAATGTTCCCCCTTAGGAACTTAATAAAATTTGTTGCCAAGAATGCGGATCCTTTTGAGTTCAAGTGTAACAGGCCGCCATTTAAGCATGTAGCATCAATATTATTGTTTTTAATAAAATCAAACCCGTTCTTAGAGCACATTTTTTGTAATTCTTCATTAGCAGTGGAGATCTGGATATTGCTATTCTTGAATCTGTAAATTTCTTTTTTATACACAAAGCTAGATTCTCGATTTTTTTAACGCAATTATGCGGCGGTTGCACAGAAAGGTCATTAGTCCCAGTAATGTATGAATAATGTGTGAAGGAAGTACTTCAACCTCCATAGATTCCACTTCAGATTTTATTTGTTCTGCGGTTTTGCCAGGAAACGTGCGTTTAATAGTTCTCTTTCGGGAGATCTTTTTAGGATCAATATGTTTGATGATAGAATCGCCGATAATTAGGATCGGGCTGTCGCTGCTACTTTTGGCTGTAGTATGATGAGTTGGGGTAATATTTGATAATGAGTCGGGTTGAGAGGAAGTACTTTCATTCTGGGAGCGCAGATCTTTTGAGGTTATATTGTTATTGACCGCAATTTCTTTCTGTGAGAAAGTCGATGATTTAACCTTCGTTTCGTAAATCTCTTCCTCGTCCTCCTGTTCAGAGCTTAAGAGTGAATGTCAGTAAAAATCGAACATATGAGATATTTCGCGGCCACGACTGAAAAATCGATTTTGCTCAAATTTTGCCCAGATATACCTTATTATATCGGAAAATGCACCATATATTTTTTTAGGTCAAATGCTTTTTTAACTTTGAGAAAATGCCGTTTTAACACGACCACCCTGTAATGCTGTAGTTAAACACTTTTATTGATAACCTCTCGTATATATGCACATGCAAAACTCACTAATAAAACTATATCTATTGGCGCCAAAAAGTCTTAGTCTCAGAGCCCGCACGCGGTCCACCTGCGCGCCAAGGCAACATAACAACAATGAGCTTATTAACTATATTATATCCCTCCCTTTGTCAGATGATAGTTCCATCTATTAATATAAACATTAACGTGTTCGAGTCACTGTTCCTTTGACTAATATGCTGTGGACAGTGATATTGTCCGAACTGTCATTTGGTTCACATTGCTTCATAGTTTACATAGTCCGCGAACCTTGCTGGCTGTCTTACGTTCCGTTTCGGTCTTTGTTGAAGTGTTTTTTGTTCTTGGGGGTTTGATGGTCTTGGAACCTTTGGTTCAACTTCCTTGTCATTGTGTTTGGTGCGAGGAGTTTCGTGTGACAACCTTTGAATCATTCTTGGCAGTGACCATTGTTCCCTTTTTCTTTTCTACGACAAAAGGTTGAGGGTTGTATGGAGCACTGAATTTGTTTTCCTTCGGCTGTTTCAGAAGGACGGTGTCACCTGGTTTGATGTAGCCTGCTCACAGGCTCTATTATATAGAGCCTGCGACTTTTATTGATATTTTTTCAATACGCCCCCTTTGAGATAATGGAATATCCGGTAAATAGTAGCCAATCAAAGCAAGTTTTGTTAATTAGATTACCAGAGGTTATTAACAACAACAAACAGTTTCTCGCGCAATTTTACGCCTGTATCTTTCACTAGGATTCCAAGGTCTAAACTTTAATCTAAAATAATTCATGGTCGTTTTTTCCCTAAAGCGTTCTAATATTTAAAACATAGTCCCGTTTGTATATTGCTGTCTTGTTCGTACATTGCCGTTTTAAATTATGTAACTATACTACAGAGACGTAAAATTTTACTCTCTATTAGTTAATGTATTTTATATATTTATATCCAAAATATAACTGTAACATTTAAGGAAACGTATTTAGGTTTTGAACAAAGTAACAAACACTATTTATTAAAAGTGTCGAACAATAGCAGGCTAAAAAACAACATTAATCATTATTGCGTGAAGTCTGTCATTTGCTCAACTGACAATACAATTAACTCAATAGACAATAGACAATTTGAAAACCCGTGGCCGTGGCATCGATTCTGCCGTGTTTAATAACTACATTTTTTTGTAAAAAGCTCTTGTTATAATAATATATGTCACTAGTTGAGACTCCCAAAAATAAAGTCTCAAAGAGAGAGCGGACTTCGGTCAAAAAACACGCAAACGACTATTGCAAAATTTCCAGGTGTAAATTCAAATTGGCCAGGTGTTCTAAGAACGACTTTCCTCGACGGCGTCTGTTTTAATAATTTGCAAAATTGCCCATTGTCTTGAGTTATTCAAGACCAGATTGTTTAGGCAGAAAGCCTTGGGTTGACAGGGAAGTATTTGGGAGAAATGTTCGGAGGCATTTGACAATCAACTGCTTTAGATCGGAAGCCCTCG